GGTGGTTTATGAATTTAATGGACAGTAAAATGTGATTTGGGACAGTAACAAGGTGGTTTATGAATTTAATGGACAGTAAAATGTGATTTGGGACAGTAACAAGGTGGTTTATGAATTTAATGGACAGTAAAATGTGATTTGTGAAATTAAACTAGTATGCCTGTAACAAGGTGGTTTATGAATTTAATGGACAGTAAAATGGTCCATTAAATTCATAAACCACCTTGTTACTGTCCCAAATCACAGTAAAATGTGATTTGGGACAGTAACAAGGTGGTTTATGAATTTAATGGACAGTAAAATATGATTTGGGACAGTAACAAGGTGGTTTATGAATTTAATGGACAGTGAAATATGATTTGGGACAGTAACAAGGTGTTTTATGAATTTAATTGACAGTAACGGTGATTTTTGAATTTACTGGAAAGTTAAAATATGATTTGTGAAGTTAAACTAGTGTAATTATAATCAGATGATTTATAAATTTAATGAACAGTAAGTAATAAGGTGGATTTAATGGAGAGTAAAAGATAAGTTGTGAAAGTAACTAGTTTGACAGTAACAAACTGGTTTGCGAACCTAACAGACAGTAGAAAAATGGTTTGTGAAATTAAACTAATGTAACTGTGACAAGATATATGATTCGTGAATTTAAACATATGTGGCAGTTAAAAAACGTTGTTTGAGATTTTAAACCTCGTTTACAATGTGAGTTTATTTTTGTAACTAATTCCATAACTTATATAAGTTTTATAATGGATCTTACATCTGGTGTAAAATATGGCTTAAAATTTCCTACTTGTAAAATAAAATATAAAAAAAAACTGTTTCTGGTCACCATTAGATATTCTTGCAGGTAGGAACTCTGTAGACTTCTATAGCCATAGAGCGTTTAGAACTAGTAAATGTTTAGATGTCTACACGACTTTATATTAGTAGAATTAAATCTAGGCTTAACTGGTTTAACGGTGATTAGTAATGGACTCTGTTCACCGTGCTTAGAGGCCCACACGCCTTTATATTACTAATGTTAAATCTAGGCTTAACTAGTTAAAGAGTGGTCAGTATGTACATTAATCACTGTCATGCACACGGCTTTGTATTAGTACGGTTAAATATAGGCTTAACTAGTTAAAGAGTGGTCAGTAATCACTGTCAGCTACACTGCTCTCTATTAGTACGGTTAAATCTAGGCTTAACTAGTAAAAGTAATGGACCCTGCTCACTGTCGTTTACGTAGCTTTTAAATAGTAAGGAAAATTTAAGTTGAATTATTTACACAGTGGTCAGTAGTGACCATTGCTCAGGTGGACTGATTATAACTTGATTTATGTTGCCGTATTTCTGGTATTTCGTTAAATAACTGAAAGAAAAACTCCGCAACACTTGGCATTTCATGGTATGACCCACATGATGTGACAAGGTTTATTGAAAACCCGAAGGTATAACCACTGATCACACTTAAATCGATATAACCACTATGTGGACATGTCAAATTAAAAGAAGTGTGTTTTTAACTCAACCTCATTTTTAATCAACTTGTTTTTCCTTCTTTTCGTTGTGTTCACAATAAATCTTTGCACGAATCATCTTTAAGTGTGTTTGTTTTTATAACAAGTTGATTTAGTTTGTTAAAACTGATTAGAAAAAAAAACTCATGGTGGTGAAACTACAATTAACGTTTTACTGATTTATGCATATTTCACAGCGATATAGTTCTTAGTAAACATTTCGGATGTTTATTGACTAACTTCGTAAATTTGTTTTGTATTTAGTTTCGAGGAGAAAGAATGGTTGTGATATTTGATATAAATTATGTGGCATACGTGACATAAAAATGTGGCATCAATTTTGTTTTTACAGAAGTGGTTTGTTGATAAGTTTAATGCCACATTTTTATGTCATTGTTTGACGAGCCAACTGCCTCAATTTTGTTTTTACAAAAGTGGTTTGTTGATAAGTTTAAGGCAGTTGGCTCGTCAAACAATTCGCTTTAAACGGAACCTTTTTTTTCTGTTTCAGCTAATATATATACACATACAAACGATATTGTTCAGAATTCCTATTTTACTTGCTTTGTTGTCAGTAGAGGGCAGCTTAGTGTTCAGGAAGATGGAGACGTTTATCATTACACGAAATTGATAAGAAAAAACACATCTACTATAAAAAAACATGAGTGAACTTTTGCTCCTTAGATATATATATTATAAGGATGTCGTGAGTTAATAGTTTCATTAAGAGATTTAACTGTTTTGGTTTGAGAGATAGATATTGTATTATATTTGAACTTTACGCTTGAAAAAGAGTGCAAAAATGTTTTTCCAACCTTTAGTCAATCGTAGAGCTTTAACTGTAGAAGATTTACAATTAATACGAGCTGTTTTCGATGATTTAAAATCGAATGCTCTTTCTGTTAAAATCGCAAAGTTTGAAAAATAAAGTTTTGTATATCTATGTTTTAGAATGGTTTCAAATGTCTCTTGTTTTTTCAAACAAACTCGTAAAAACCTAACGTTTGAAAGGCTTGGCTAGTAATCAAAGTTCTTCACCTCTCAGCGTGGACATTAGAGACACAAACAATACTTTTACTACACTGCTAATACGTCAAGCTTTATAGTTTATTATGATCTAAACCAAAACTGTATGTTAAACTATGTAGTTTACTGGATCAAAAGCAGAACTAAAATTATATCAAACTTTATAGTTTGCTATTAGCTAAACCAAAAACGATATGTCAAATTGTTTAGTTTACTGGATCAAAACCAGAACTAAAATGATATCAAACTTTATAGTTTGCTATTAGCTAAACCAAAACTGTATGTCAAACTATGTAGTTTACCGGATCAAAACCAGAACTAAAATGATATCAAACTTTATAGTTTGCTATTAGCTAAACCAAAACTGTATGTCAAACTGTGTAGTTTACCGGATCAAAACCAGAACTAAAATTATATCAAACTTTATAGTTTGCTATTAGCTAAACCAAAAACTATATGTCAAATTGTTTAGTTTACCGGATCAAAACTAGAACCATATATATCTCTGTTGAGAACCAGACATGTTGCAGTAACCCCTTCAATATACCAAGACTGTGATGAAATGATCTCGTATTTGTTATGTACGAGAGATTTTTGAGTGGTAATAAAACAGTTACGTCTGATTTGTCGGAACAAGCAGCATTATACTCTTAATTGTTAAAATGAAACTTGTGAGCTCTTCAGCTCCATCGTCATAAAAACCAATTCTTTTGTAAAGACCTTGACAAGGTTAGATAAGTAACTGACGCTCGAGACGCGTGCTCAGTAAACGCAATTCCTGCTTGAATCGCGTTCTGTTCATTCTTTTTTTTTTTTTTTAGTTTCCTGAGCTTAATTGTTCTCTAGTGTTGTTGAAG